TTTAACATCACCCTCTGTGTACGCTGAAAGGAAGAAGAGGTGTGTTACCAACACCTGCGCTCCTTTCTCTGTACTCTTTGTAAGGCTTTCTTACAAGCGGTTGTTACAATGCGTAGAGCTTCTGGCTTAAGCATAATTATTCCCATTAAGAGGTGTTATAGTTAGTGTCATTTGCACAGTTGGGACTGTTAGACAGTGGAGCATCAAAGGTGTTCTATGCATATTCCCTAGGTCAGGGAGCAAGATAGTTCAGTTTGTGCCTTTTGGACACCCAAGAGTACTAGTGATGGAATGCTGTAACATACAGTGCCTGACTGCTCACCTGTTGCATATTGATTCAGGTCATTTTCAGGGGTCTCATACCCTGAAATAAAGGTTAGAATTTTTTGGTTTGAGTGATCAAGCAAAGAGGAGTATCAAATTCCACCCAGTTTATGCTTGAAACAAAGAGGTTGGCTGGTTATTTTGGGAATGACTGTCAAACCTACAAATGGAATCAAAGCAATTCAAAATTTCTAAGGCATTTCACCCAGGGACACAAGTCTGATGCATTACTGCACGCTGCATGCATGCTGCGGGCTCCTCTTCCTGGAAGCATGGCTCCAGCTTGACCAGCGAAAAGGGTATATTCAGCATCCTGGTAAAACTGTGCTATGAAAGCAAGTTCTGCTAGGACTGCAACAAGGTACCAAACTCCCCTTTGATTGTAAGAAAAAATTCTGTGAGATGGTTATTTGAAGAAGCAGCAAATGCCAGATCTGACTCAAATGTTTAATGCTGGCTGTGAAGCCTTTATACGCTACTGGTGTCTAACAGATGCACTGTTTAAAGCACTAGATAATTCATCAGAGTGAAGGGCTATATAGAGGTGCTGTGTGCGTGTGCTGTATGTGTGGTGTGGTTGCTAGGTCAGCTGTGCTTTTCCTTCTTGTACTTCTCTCTGCCTACACCTCAGCAGTGTGAGGCTGCAGCCCTTCAGCTCTTGGAGCTCTCAAGAAATTTTGCAGTTCTCTGAAACAGCTGGAAAGTGGATTCCAGCTCCTCGATTTCACCATTAAGAGACTGCTGGCCTAACATGAATTGGGCCTCGTATGGCTTCCCCTTTGATATCAGCTGGCTAAAACGAGTAAAAAATTACTTTTAAACAGAGGAACTTTTAACTTGGATACTTGGAAGTATCAAAGATTGAATAAGGTGCAAAATAGTCACATCTACAACTACAGCCACACATGCACATTTCATTTCAGTCCTTGGCCTCTCCCTGTCATAGCTCGGATGTCTCCAGATTATTGTCAGTTTAGGAGATGAGAGGAATGGCCTGCAATGGTCTCAGTGCCTACTTGTGTTCTTTGGTTTTTAATTCCTCCGTCCACGTTTGGTAAAACAACTGTGTCACTTTGAAAGAGACTCAAGAATCAACTCTTGGGTCTGTAAATCTGGCAGTTGTTGAGGGAATGCTCTTTACCTGAGCAACCACATTAATTTTTCTGCTTGTATTTTCAACGACGTTTTGGTGGCTTCCATTGCATCAGTGCCCAGGCATACGTACCAGTGTAAACACAGTGCAAAATGGGTCGCACACAATGTTTGTAGTTTCCTAGATTGTTGCATTTAATATTAAGTTATTAGAATAATTGTAGATTTAATACTTCCAATGACATTTAATGCCTGTAGAGACTCTGAGGAGTCACTAATAAATATTAGGAGTTACTAATAAATATTTGCCACTAAATAAACTTAGCTAATAGTTATAGAGATAAGATTATGTCGTATTTTCTCCGCTCCACACATAAGATCATCTAGGGTCTGCCATACTAATGTGCTGCCCGTAGGGCCTCATACTTCCATTTTCTGGTGAGAGGAATAAAACTTTAAATTCTCTCTGTTCTTTCATTACAGCATATCAGCATAATGCAACATTTTCATTGCTTTCTTTTGGCCCTGTCCCAGTTCTGTCCACCTAACTCCAAGATACAGGAGCAGTGCATGTGCTTGGTGTTTTTATTTAACTGAATTCTAGCATGTGTCAGCTAAGATGATCTTGATCAGAGGGACAAATCTGTCAGTTGTTAGCATTTTTGCACTGGAGTATAGGACACACCACTGTACTGGGTCTTCAGAGCCAGCTTGAGAGCTATGTCCCATGTGTAAAGGTAAATTATGGGGGATGTTTTAAATTGAAGATGCAAGGAAGATCTCATTCTGGGTGTCAAATCCCATAGCAGGATTCTCTTGTAAAGGGGAAAAGCTTTGGAAATGTAGAGCTCTCTTTTCACCCAGACACATAAAATTAACCCAGGATTCTTTAAACTTTCTCCACTGCTCCTATATGCAATTTCCAGTGTGGACAAACGAAAACTTGCTATAGGGCCTACTTTACCTCTTACGTATTTTGCATGTAAATCAGCAGCCGAAATAAAGCGTGTTTGATAGCAATCATGTGGATACTGAATGCATTTCCAGGAGGATTTCACACTAACTCTCTCTTCTGTCCCCTACCTCAGGCTCCTAGGCTGGATGAAAACACAGTACACAACAACTCTTTTTCAAATATTGCTTCCCATAAGGAACTGGGAGTTGGGAGGTGGGGTCTGCCGTGTTTTGCCCTCTGGGCGTGTGATTGTTTTTGTAAAAAAATAGGAGGCAATGGGGTTGGGAGGGGAGAATTCAGGACTGTTGGAAACACCTGATTGTAAAGAGGAAATAACAGATTGGAACTTTTAATCAAGTATCCTGGAATTCAGGTGAGTGTCAGAGAGGACTTTCCCACCACAATTAAGAGTTGGTGGGTAGAGGTCCTAGGGGGAGTGTAGCTCCTAAGTAGGTGTTTAACTGCATCTCTGGGCACCTAAATGCCTTCCATGTTTGTCCAAGATAATCTATAGGCTCCTCTTGTAATTTATGGTTTGGAAGAAGCATTTGCTGATGATTCATACAAGGAAGATTTTAAGTAAATGGACTTCCCATATGCACGACACATCTGTGTTGCACTCGGCTACTTCAGTTGTAGGCGAGGCACATAAAATAGCCTTTCAAAAGTGGAGCAGACGGTTCTCCCCTTAAAATAACTTTGCATAAACCTTTATGAGTGCCCCAGATCTTGACAGTACAAATTTAGGTTTAATCTAGTGCGAAAGAATGCCAAGGCTGAACTTCTAGTTTTTGACTACTGTGATGGGCTGAATGCAGCAGGGTACAAGGAAGAACGTAAGTGTAGAGTTTCTGCATAGAATGAGTGCCCCAGACTTTCGTGGTGCAAATTTAGATTTAATCTGGCAACAAAACATGCTAAAATTGGGCTGCTGGGTTTTACCGACTTGCTGTGAGGGACAAACTGCAATGAGATGCAAAGAAAACCATCAGTGAGTAGTTTCTGTGGAGGATACAAATAGAGAGGACAGAACCTGCTGTTGTGATCAGCTGCAGCTTATTCTTTCCTTGGGAATATTTCCTCTTTTGCAGTTCACATATTTTTTTAATAATTCTGCTATTCAATTTTATTTAGTAATATATGTCTGTGAGACCATTTTAGAAATTGTTTTGTTTTATTCTTCTATAACAGTAGAAGAGAGTAAACTGAGAGAGTTTATGGTCTAAATTTGGTTTATATTCCCTTACATGTAAGCTGACATTAACTATCCAACCTGTCTCAATTCTGAATGTATATATGTGTGTGTACACACACACAGACACGTACATATGCACATACACACACGCACTCTGTTTTCCAAGCATCTACAGGATTTTGCCTTTTCGTGTTTGTGACCTGAAGGCAAGTAATTGCTTTCATGACTCTTAGTTTAGATGGAAGATTGGTAGGTTTGCTGTTTGACATGTTGCCTGGTGGTTGTTAAACAACTGGGTTCTTAGCCAAGTCCTCTCCTATAAGATGTTTTAGTCTTCAAGACAAGTCTCTTTCTATTTAAAAAGGGTAGGAAGCAGGTGCCTGTGAGGCTTACTCATTCACAGTCACACTGAGGGGTTTTTTCCCTGCGGGGCAGCCCTCCTCCTGGAAACTTCTGCTGCTGAATCACAAAATGCTAGGGGTTGGGAGGGACCTTTGGAGATCATCTAGTCCAAGTGCCCTGCCTAAGCAGGTTCACCTAGAGCGGGTTGGACAGGAACGCATGAAGTGTTTGTGCATTTGGCCTCTCTGCCCTTTCAGCACATTTAGCATAGCACATTTCTATGTTTTATTGTCGACAGCTGACATTTTTCACAGGTGACCTTTGCTGGAGAGCAGGAGAGCATTACAGTACAGGTGACCTTGTCAGCAAACAGACAGTTTATTCTCCCTTGACTGGCCTCTTTTTGAGGGCACCTGGGCTGTTATCTGGATATTAGTAAAGTCATCGACAATGGCAGAACTTGCTGTCCATAGAGAACACCTGGCTTGTTTAATGTAGCAGCAGGAGACGTGTTAATGTAAGAGCAGAGATGGGAAATCCATCAATGAGAAGATGGAAAGGGTTAAGCCAATGTGAGCCTTGTTTTCAGTCGGAAGTCATCACATGGGAAATGATTGTGCATCTGGGTCATGGAGAATTAGTTTTTTCTTCATATCTGGAAAAACCCCTTACCTTTGTGCCTTGTACACATGGTGCTTTTCCACGTTGCTCATGACAGAGAACATCTCATTCTGTGTCCACCAGCACTGCGCAGAAGAGAATACTCAGCACCAACATGAATGTCTTGACAGTCCTTTTTGAATTCAGCAGTTCAGCTTGCTCAGGTCAGACATAGTAGCTTCCATGTGCTTGATTACAAGGTAACAATTCCCTTAATGAAAAGGGATTAGAGTATCCTCCCTGAGCAACAGCATTTCTTTGTTTTGAGGGTGGGACAACTGATAACTGTGACAGTAGTGAGAGTCGTGTGCTTTTCCAGTGACAGCCTCCCTCCTCCTCCTCACTTCATGCCTGTGCCTGTGGTGGCTGGTGTTCAGGGTTATTACTTGTCCGAGTTTTCTGAGGGCTATCTTCCTTATTGTGTCCATTCAGGTCTCGGTCAATCAGCGGAGCATCGTCTGGGCTCTCCACCAGTCCTCTCAGCAGTCCAAGGGTAAGTGGTGCTGCTTCAAGATCTGTTGATCCAATTCACTCACACATGCTTGATGCTTTTGACATCTGTTGCTGCAGAGCTGTGGCTCTTAGCTGAGATGTTTCGTTTTTTCCTTGGCAGCTTGTAAATTTTCTTGGGTGGTAACGGAAATGTTATTTACAAGTGCAAGCAGAGGATTTCTCATACATGTTCCCTGCACTGTTAGCAAGGATCTCACTGTGCCCCTGCCCTTTTTCAGTCTCATAAGCACATAGAATAACGTTGCTATGACTAAACACTGCCATGTCCAGCTGAGGTGTGTGTACAGCATGGTTTCAGACCAAGTATTGGGAACGGTTTCACAGCTACCTTCAATCAGGTCACAGTAGAGCACCAAACCATGCTGGTTACAACCACCTTAATTGTGTTTCCTTTGGAATAGCTGGTATTAGAAAGTCAGAGAAAATAGATTATACAAATTTGAGGGCTAGCAAATTTAAAAGGAAAGTAAGAAGTTGACTAATTAAGAGGAGAAAAGAACACGCAAACCTCTATAAATAAGGTACGTTCACATGCCCTTATTCACTATACAGTCAGCTAAATACCGATGCTCAACTAACACCTATACTCAGCTAGTACAAAACGTGCTTGCTAGTACATCTGCTGCAAAGTTAGTACAGTCTGAGTGCCATGGCAGAGGCCTCCCTCTCCTTGGTAATCCTGTAGGGGTAAGAGTGAGCATTCCTAGTGTATGACAAGGTCAGCGTAGTCACTTCACGACTGCAGTCCTTACAGAAGGCTAGACCTCATCAAGGAGTCTGTAGGGCTGTGGCAATCCATGTTACTTAATTGTCTGCCCCAGAGTCATTGAAGGATTTCTCTATACTTTTCATGCTGGATGGCATCCCCCATTGGAAATGGATATATTTCATGTCTTAGGGTATGGATACACCTATGGATCTGCCCTTAGGTCTATGATGATAGCATCAGTATTCCAAGCATTTAAAACTCTAAATCCCCAGTAACACTGTGTGTAATTCTCATGCATAAAGACACACTGTCGGATGTAAATTTATAGGCTAGCAAAGCTTCCAACTCCTTTCTTGGCTGCGTCATTTTCTAAAACCTATTCTGTGTTCCCATCAATTGGTACCTCATTTTGCAACTGGTAAAATGTGTTTGTGGTCTCCTCTGCATCTCTAATGTGCCAGGAACCAGTGAAAATCCATTTCCTTGTTTCTGCACTCAGACTTCTGGATGTCAGTGAAACGAAGCAGAGGTCTGAGAACTCTTATGCCACTACAAAATGTACTGGAAAAGAGCATGGAAACAGTTTTGTGCATAAAATAAGCATCCAGTGCAGCAAACCTAAATCTTGTTCTCATTAATTGATCTCTTGGGATAAACTTCTGACATCTCAGTAGGACTACATCAAAGAATAAGGATGACAAGATCTGTTCTATAGTTGCTGTATCTCACCATTATTACTTAACAGGCAGTTGGTTAAATAGTCTTCAAAGGGCTTTAGCAACCAGATGGCGTTTTCAACAGATCATAATGGTATTAAGGCAGATCAAATTTGAGGCTTAAGAGGAAATGTTGGAATATAAATAATATTTTTTAAACATCCTTAGCTATGCTTCTAATTGCACCTTCGATTACTGAAAAAGAACATACTTTAAAAGGCAAACACACATTTCAATACGTGCACTGCTTAGGCTCAGTGCTACGAGGAGTTGAATTTGGCGGCAGCTAAGAGTTCTTAAATCTCACAAGATCTTGCAGATGGTGTTCCCCATTGCACCAGCTGAAATACAGACCTTAGCTTGATCTTTATTTCATGACTAAAAATGTGGCAATTATGGGTGCCCCTTCAAAATCGTAATGGCTTAAGGGGTGTTGAATTTGACTTTATTTCTTTCAAATTTGTTTATCAAACTATCATACACATAAGATACAAAAATTGCAAGGAAACATCTGCAGTCAACAATCTCTGACTTTTATCCATTGGTGTCATTTGCAAATGGTTAACAGTCAGATGCTGATAGTGACTTCCATAAATTAACCGCTTTCCTCATCTTCCTGTTCATTCTCTGTGGTGTTCAGAATTTACCCACATCGAGGACTTTAGTTTAACTTTACAATCCTAATAATAATACAAATTTTTTGATGGAGTTAGTGATCTAACCCTAAGTTCTTTAAAGTAACTTTGATGCAAATTATTTTAGGAATTAAGTCTTAAGAACATTTCTGCATTTTTAAAAAATGGCAACAGTGTGCTAATCCATCAAACCCAGAAAATAAACTCACTAGTAAGTGTGCTTACCTGGAACTCGGATTTGAGGATGTTTACATGTACATTATATGTCTGGACATGCTTCATTACAGTTTTTAGGTGTTAAGGTGATAATAATAATAGTAACGGTGATAAATAATTTATAAGATGTAATAAATTATAGAAATCATAATTTGAGTGCAGACAAAAGCTAAAGATCTTGAGTAGTGATTTCTGTTTTTACAATTCTGCCTGTACTTGTAATCTAAGGTGTCAACAGCAGTGTTTTGTAAGGACATTCATTTTGGTTTAAATGTGATTTTAACTTGCTAATATCCCTTTAAAAGGCTTCTATCCTCCCAAGTCTGTGTATTGCTGTTTGCTGTTGACATATGAATGGCTTCCCAAAATGCCTCTAACATGTGTAAACGTTCTTGTTTTGGGGGAAAAAAAAAAATCCAACATAATCCCATTTTGATAACTCAGTGATGGATTATGAATTTTGGTTGTCTTTTTCTTTTTAAACTGTGTCTTAGAAAACAATGACTCACCCCACCCCCTCCATAGAATTGGGACTTAATGGCAAATATTGCTGTGACTTTATGACAGAAATTCTGATTATCAAGCTATCCTCCTATGCAATGAGGGATGTTGCAGGAGAAGCATAAAGTCTGATGGGAAGTGTCATCTCTTCCCAGATAAACAAATTTGCCAGGCCTCTCTGAAGTTTTTGTTGTAGCTGTTTACAAGTCAAACACCAACCTGAGTTCATATTTTTCTCGTGGTGGTGTCTGCTCCAAAGCCTCCAAGTGACTGCTGAGCACTTTAACCTTCCAAGCCAGGGGAGGAGAATGGATGCCCACATGGCATCGCTCGCCCTTTTCCCCCTCTTTCTGCAAGCGGGGTGTGCATTAGCCAGACTCAGGGGTAAAAGGAAGGAAAGAGGTTCTGACTGGTGTGTGCAGTAACCTGTGTGTATCGCCTACCACTCTGTATGTATCACACACCTGTGAGCTTCATCTCTCTGCTGGGTTTGCATATGGGCACTTGGAGCTGAAAGAGGTGGTCCCATTCTTGGCACATCTCAATTCGTCTGTGGCTTGAGTGGTTCTTCTTCCCCTTCCTCACCTCCCTACAGCATCGTGCTTCTCTCACTGCAGGGCAATCAGAACAATCCCAGAGAGATGGCATTTCTCTCTTCTTTTTTCTTGGTTACTTTCTTTCATTTTGGTTTGATTTTTTTTTTTAACTTTTCCTTTGTTTTACTTTTCTTTCTGTTGTTTTCCTTTGCTGACACGTGGTTGGTTAATATGATGAAGCCTGTTATGACACTGTTGTTCTTGCTGCTGCCGCTGCTGCTGTTGTTGATTATGCTGTGTTCCCAGCTAACTGCATGTCTTTTTTTTGTTTTTTGTTTGTTTGTTCGTTTTTGTTTCTTTGCAAAATCCCTCCCCCCCACTACCCCTCACCTCCATCTCCTGTGTCTCTTTGTGACATGGTGCATCTTTGTGACTCGGATGGATTTTATTCTGACTTTCCTTTCTCTGCTCGCCCGCTCTATGCGTATTTCACTGTTTTTGATATGCATGGACACTCTGCGTCTGTCTCGTAGCCTATCAGAAAGTTCTTCATCCCCCCTCAGACCTCCGACCTCCCTTTCTCTCCCCGACCCCAAGTCTCCTTGGACCCTGATGCTTGTAGGAACGCCTCCAGGCCTGGACATGTACTCCAACCAAAGCCAGCACTTCAGCCCAACCCAAAGACGCAGACTTTGCCATCCAAGAGCAAATTGGCCGAAAAACCACTCCAGTCTACTAAATCCAACCCACTTCCTACCAGCAATGCCATCGCCCCCTCTTCCCAGAACACCCCTGTGCAGAATGCTCAGGGCCGCTCGCCTGCTGCCGGCTTTAACCCACAGCTGGCTGTTCCTAAAGTGCAGACCAACCCTATGTCTCCTGTTAGATTGCTCCCTTCTAGTACTGACCCAAGCACCAAATCTATCCCCATCATACAGGTCACCCCTCACCCCTCTCCAAGGGGAAGTCCCCTCCCTACCCCCAAGGGGACACCTGTCCATACGCCAAAGGAGAGCCCAGCAGGCACACCCAACCCAACACCACCATCCAGCCCCAGCATTGGAGGAATGCCATGGAGGACACGGCTCAACTCAATCAAGAATAGTTTCCTGGGGTCTCCTCGCTTCCATCGCCGGAAATTGCAAGGTGAGTACTCACCCAGACGTGCAGGGTGGTTCTGGTTTGGGCAGGCATTCGGCAGTGAGTTGATAACTCTCTGTGGCTCTGCAAATTTCATATACTGAGGACTGAATATTGATATTGAAAATGATAGTGTCAGCCAGCCCTAATCCAGGACACATGTGAGCAGGCTCTGTCATGCCACTGCATCTGTTCCAACAGCATCTCCTGAGCCCTCTTCATGCTGTAGCTATACAGCTCTTACTATCCCTGTTGTGGCATTTAGAACACAAGAAAATTTTATCTTCACCTTCTCCACTTGTTTTGTCAGCAAACCTAGAGCTCTGCCAGTTCCCCTATGGCTGTGCTTCGCTGCCTTTCCAGAGCCACAGGCTGAGCCTTCTCCTGAAAAAAAGATAGCCAGTGGCAATAGGCTGAAATTGTCCTTCTGAAGCACAGCTTGTTTGATCTTGTTTAATGCTTTTTTTACCTCCTTTGGTAATTGGTGTAGAAGTCTCCTTAATACAATCAGTGGCTTCCTATCTGCTGGCCGTTTTCAGAGTTTCTAGAGTGTTGAGATGTGCAGAATTTTCTTCTTCAAGCTCCAGGTGGCTTTTTGCATTCAGGCAAAGGGCACCCAAAGTCACATGCATTATCCTTAGATGTCAGCAGCAGCTTTCCCAACACCCTGTGGTTTTACAGAGTGCTGGGATGTGATCCCATGGGAAAGGAGGCTTACAGCCATGAGTCTGAACCAGCAACCACTGAAGCCAGTGCAAGATTACATAATGATTTAAGGAAGGGTTGAGTGAGCCTTTAAATGCAGAATTTGATTAGATACAGTGATCTAGAGACATATGACCAATGTTAAAATGTCATAACTAGTCTGCAGAGACAGTGGGCAAATGCAAGAGGGTGTAATGCCAGAATTGTTTCATTGATATACAAGCAGAAAATGGAAGGTGTACTGAATCATCAATTTCTTTTCTCCCTCCCTCTCTTTGGCTGTGCGTGCATGGACAGTACCTACACCAGAGGAGATGTCTAATTTAACCCCAGAATCATCCCCAGAGTAAGTAATTTGCCAGTACACTACTTCTTTTCCACCACCACCTGGCCTGAACATCATAGGGTGATATATTCCTGTTCTGGATCAATATCTGACTGTAACCTGTTAGCCTGTGAGTGGGATTGAGATGTGAAATTGTTCTTCGGCTAAGGATCTTGGATAACATCTATTTCTCAGTAATGGCAGTGGGGTCAGCAGGTGATGAAACAGTATCCCGGTAACCACCTTATTTTAGAATCATAGAATAGTTGGGGTTGGAAGGAACCTTTAAAGGTCATCTAGTCCAATGCCCCTGCATGAGCAGGGCCATCTTCAACTAGATCAGGTTGCTCAGAGCCCTGTCCAACATGATCTTGAGTGTTTCCAGGCATGGGGCACCTACCATCTCTCTGGGTAACCTATGCCAGTGTTTCACCACCCTCATCATAAAAATTTCTTCCTTACATCTAGTCTAAATCTACTCTCTTTAGTATAAAACCATTACCCCTTATCCTATAGCAAGAGGCCCTGCTAAAAAGTTCGTCCCTATCTTTCTCACAGGCTCCCTTCAGGTACTGGAAGGCTGCAGTAGGGTGTCCCCAGAGCCTTGTCTTCTCCAGGCTGAATAACCACAACTTTCTTGGCCTGTTCTCATAGGAGAGGTGCTCTATCCCTCTTTTGTGGCCTTCCTGTGGACCTGCTCCAACAATTTCATGTCTTTCTTGTGCTGAGAGTCCCAGAGCTGGATGCAGTACTCCAGGTGGGGTCTCACCAGAGCGGAGTAGAGGGGCAGAATCACCTCCCTCAGTATGCTGGCCACGCTTCTTGTGATGCTTTCGATGCAGCCCAGGATGAGGTTGGCCTTCTGAGCTCTGAGCATGTGTTGCCAGCTCATGTCCAGCATTTCATCCACCAGTACCGCCAGGTCCTTCTCCTCAGGGCTGCTCTCAATCCCATCATTCCACAGCCTGTATTGATACTGCACGTTGCCCCACCCCATGTGCAGGACCTTGCACTTGGTGACCCTCATGAGGTTCATGTGGGCCCACTTCTTGTTCTCATGTCTGGCTAAGTTTACTGCGTTTGTAACATGCTCTCTCTCTCTTATTTGGTTGTCAAGCAGATCACTCTTGGGGAGTGGCGAGAATAATCAGTGGCTTATGCTGGCATTAATTATGCACTAAAAAGTCTTCCTCTTAGTACAAGAAAGTTTGCATCATCAGGTTAACATGTGGAAGCCTCTGCTAAGATAAATCAGAGGAATCTTTGGCTGCAGTATTAAACACAGTGTTAATTCTGGGCAGCAGCCGTGGGACACGCAGAAGCTGTTTCATATTCACCAGTCTCATTCCTAAAAGTCAGCGTACATTTCAACCGTTTCACTGCACAGATGTGCGTCACTGCACGACAGGTTTGGAAGTCCCTGCCAGAGAGTGCTGCTCCAAACACTTCCTAATATATGCAACAGATGCCAAATTATTCCTTTTTATTTTTGCAGCTTGTATTTGTACACCCAATGCCCATAGATTTACCCTGCCAACCAAGGCAATTTGGTCTTTTGTCAAGATACTTGTGTGAAATATTCATGATTTGTAGATGGAAATTTTGGGCCCAAAGTTTTGTAATTGGTGACAATGGAAATTCCTTAATAACTTTCCCCAGACTGGCATTTATCTAGCATAAGATGGGTACTCTATATACAATGCTGCAGAATGGAGAGGAGTAGGGAATAGTAAAGGTTACTAAAAGAAATCCAGGAAGAAAAATGGAATAAATTGTGTTTTCAACACTTATGAGCATCTACTAGAAGGCATGACAGAATTTCATATAATGAATGCATCCTTATCAAAGAAATATAGGATACTCTCATCTCAAATGTTTTTAAGGCTATTAAAGCAGAAAACCTTCAGAATTAAATCTCCTCCTCTCCTCTCCTCTCCCTCTCCCTCTCCCTCTCCCCTCCTCTCCTCTCCATACAGATATGTTGGTGGAAGTTTTTCTGTTAATTTATTGCTTTCTCTGCTTCCCACTCGCTCTTTAAAAGCTGGTACAAAGAAGTAGTGCCTGTCATTTGAGGCAGTTTGGATGCAAGTCAAAGCCTAAGGCCCTTTTTTCTTTTTCTGTATAATTGCCAAATTAATGAGTTCAATTGGGCTAAACCCTGCAGTAAACATAATAAAAGTCATAAAAAATAATGAACTGGATTATATTTTAACGATAGATGTCTTCTTGCTCAGTGCCCACTTCCACATGTCTGATTTTTCTAGTATTTTCTTCATTTCTGTAAGAAATAAGATATCCTTATCAAAAGCTGTATTGACCTCATGGGTTGAGAGATAAAAATACATGTCCTTGCTCTGGTAAAGCATTCTTTAATGACTGCCATTCATTTAACAAACCTGATGATTAGGTAATACTCTTTGACATGTCTGGGTAATGCTTTTCTTTCTCCTATGGAAAAGTCCTAGAAAATGGGTTAGGGATGACATTTAAAGAGTCATAGCTCCAGCTGCTTAAAGCCTGCAAAGCTCCATTTGGTTGAGTAGAAATGCTGTTATTTGTGCCAGGTAGGTAAACCTCTGGAGGTTATAGATCCGTGTGCTCAGGGACAGATAGGGAGGACAGTGAGGCTCTCCAGAAGGCGATGCAGTGAGAAACTCCAAAAGTAGGAAAAGGAACACCATTATAGCAGTGATAATTCAGTGTGAAGTAATAAAGCACCAGCCTCCATTTTCATGCTAATCTATTTGCATTTTCATCAACTGGACACCTGATTAGATTCCCTAGAGTAATCTACATACCCAGCCTCCCACCAATATCTCCTATCTCCCTCCCCCTTAGGAGGTTTGCCATGACAAGAGAAGATTGTTAATTTTAAGTACATTTTTTACTGCTTACAGCCTGATCTTGTGAGATCCCAGAGCATCTCATTCAGGGTGCTGAGGATCCTTGATGCATACCCACTTTAACCTGTTAGTAGCACTTAACACCCTCTAAGAGGAGAGGAACCTTTATTGTGTGATTTTACTCCAAAGCTGCCCCCTCTTCTTCAGTGGGCCTGTTCCTTGGGTGTATGAGCACAGATAGTTCTGCCTGTTTTGAGGAGAAAAGCCAAGGCATGTGTGCTGTGTCTTGATTCTGTTCATTCCAGAAACAGGAAAGGCCGCTGGCATCTATTCCATCTTATGCGACACCAGCAAAATTATTTAGTGAATTCCAGTGATTTACAAGCTGGAGCGTAGCCCAGGGTATCAGTGAATCTTCCGGAGTCAGTATTACTGGTGATAACCTTGCTGAAGAAAAAAGCCCAGCTGGACTCTGGAGACTCCGGACCAAGTTTCCAGGCGGAACAGGAGAATAACTCCCTATGTTCTGGGGTCCTTTTAACCTGTGCTTGTTAAGAGACCTATGAATGAAGAGCCAACAAAACTATTAATGAAAATACAAAAGTGAAAAGCCATATGTTAATGTGGCAAGCCTGCAGTTAAAGATGCACACTTTTTCCAGGCCCAGCTTCCATGTGTGACTGGGCCCCTGGAGTCCATATAGCCAACCCCGGTTCAGTTTGTGGTACATGCAAACCTAAGACATCCAGCCGTTTTAGATGGATAAGCAGGTGCTAATTTACTAATGAGCATAGACCCTTTACATGCAGGGAGCTATTGCCCCAGCTCTCCAGGGGCTTGCAGTGTTGTTATGGTGTGTGTGAGACACATGAGCTAATTAGTATGTAATTTCCTTTCACACTCTAACCCTGGCTCCTTAACGACCCATTTAAATGAGAGGCCCTTTCTCTTTACTGCTCCCTATGCTAATCTCTGGCTCACTGGCTTAGTTACAGCTGCCTATGAATATTTTAGGGAGTAACGGTTTTCCAGCCCACTTTAATTGAGTGGGGGGCACTGGTTTACCAAATTTCAAGTGAATTTTCTGTACCCTTATTTTTGGTTGCCTGCAGTAAGTAGAAGCAAATGATTATTTGCACAGCTGAGCTGTTTTCCAGTTGTGGTCTTTCTACTGCGTGCATTAAATGGGCAGTGAGACGACAGTTGTGTGATTCGTGGAGCACTCTGGAATGGGGATTGAGTGCAAATTGCTGGACACTGCTGTGGTCAAGCTTTGTTCTTCATCCTGAAGGTCTAGACTTCAAATTAGTTTCCTAGTTTGCTCTTCTCTCTTCTAGGCGTTGCCTTTCCTTATTCTGCCTCAGTCTGAGTCTTTGCCACACAAGGCGAATCTACTAATAACTCTCTCCAGCTGTTTATTGCTTTGCTGGAAAGCTGATGTATGGTAATCCATTTGCAGATGACTATCCTTGTCTGGAGAGGTTGTCTTCTTCCACTGAGTGGTCAATGTCCACCTTTCCACAAGTGAAAGCCTATTGCTTGCCATACTGCAAACTGGACTTCTCATGGCATCGTAAAGTAACCTGTGGAGGAAAAATACGGCAGTCTTATGGTGGCAGGTCTTTTCATTTCTGATGTTTTCATGCTCAATTTTTCCCTACTAGAATATGGCTGATTTCAGTTGAATTTTCCCTGGGTTTAGGTTCATCCAGCAGTTCTTTGGCTGTATCTCATGGCTAACAGCATCTTCTGTCCCCTCAAAACCACAGCGGTCAGAGTGCTGCCTTCAAGTTCTGTGTCGTGTCCCCCAGTAACATTCATATCACTACATTTTTCCTCTAGCGGCTTTAACTTAAAAGGCAATATCCACAAAGTGCATTGAGATGGTGAAACAATAAGCAAAATCAAATATTTGCTGATATGATCAGCGTAAAAAACCAGAGCAATTTCATTTTATGATGCTGAAAGGAACTATGAAGCTGGACTGCTATCAGTGGAAAGCCTGGACTGTGTTTTGCATGGTGTTCTTACCTTCTCTCCTAGTACTGAAAACTCATTCCTTTGTAGGATGGCCAGAGTTCACTCATTATTATATAGACACCCTGGATGGGACTAGTGAATGGGACAGTCTTTGTCCTGTCCCTCTGCACAGGAGTGGATTTCACTCACTGACAGTTCACAGGTCCAGTGAAACCTACAGCTTGCTCTAAAAAGCAAGATCCTGTGATTGTACTGTCAGCCCAACAGGACACCTTCAGAAAAGGAACTTTCCAAGTCTTAGAACACCAAAGGGGTTGAAACTGGGTGGGAAGCAACTGAAATCCCTGTGTTACCAGCATCTGCATATTGTCACAAGAAATTGAGACATCCCTGAAGACAAACCAGAAGCGTGTCCCCTGTCTTATGTGCACCCCATATATGCAGTATTAATTGGTATATTGTCTCAGTCAAGAGTTACCATTGCTCCTGATTTTTCATTGTCGGTCATAAATGCTGCCAGACTCACACTGTGTGTTCCATCATTTTAAAAGTTTCTACTAAGTGAAATGTTGTTCTGGATGTTTTCTCACACTGTTTTTCACTTAGTGTCAGTAATATTATCACACGTGGAGTGTTATCGAAACTTCCTTGTGTGGTTTTTGACATTTTTCTAGCTGAGGGTATGTAAGTAATAGTGCTCAATATTCTAAATTATCTCTTTCTTTTTCTCATGTCAGGCTTGCCAAAAAATCCTGGTTCGGTAACTTCATCAACCTGGAGAAAGAAGAACAGATTTTTGTGGTCATTAAGGACAAACCACTAAGCTCCATTAAGGCTGATATTGTCCACGCTTTCCTCTCAGTAAGTCGCACCAGCTGCCTCTTGGAGGCATTGCTTACCGGTCAGTTCCAGGACTCTGTGCCATATGGTACTGGGCAGGGCCCCTGCTCCTTCAAATGCATCCTCTGTGAATTTAATTTACGTGGCCTGTTGATTCAGGCCTCCACTGGGCTCTGTCTGAATTTCTAACTGTACATAATACTCTAAGGTGAGAAAAATATTTCAGCCTTCTTGAAAGGTTCTCCAGGTTGCCAGTGTATGGAATATCAGCAGTTAGAGCACACTGATGGTGCAGTATCAGAGGGAAGTTATCATTTTTTCCTACATAAAGTCCTTATTCTCACTATCTACAAGTACCAATGAATTAAAAATCAGTAAGAGTAATTTGAGAGATTTTTCAATTCAAGGTAGTTGACAACATAATTAGACTTTTTTTTCAATAGAATTAAGAGAAGATGACTTAATTTATTGTATCATTTGTTGAATTTATATTGTTTTCCACAAAATGCTGCACTCCTTTATAGTCTCTATCATGCTGCAATTAATTCCTTAAAAAAAACCCACAGGCATAATCTTTTTAACTGTACCAGCATACAAGGAGTGAGTGCAGTGTAGTAGCATGCATCAGCCACCGTCTTGGGTTGGTTTGAAGCAGCCATTTACCATTTCCATGGTTTAGCTGTGCTTGTGGGTTTATTTTGTGGCATAGTGTGCACCACTGTCTATGTGGATGACCCTGTGCATACCCCACGTGTGTGGGTTGAGATGTGATGTAGGGATTTGTGTGCAAACCCTATGAATCATCTCTTACAGCCAACTTCAAATTTAAATGCATTGTCACAGCCTGCTAAGGAAGTCCCTAAGATCAGCTTCTCAAAAAACTCCTCTTCATTTTTCCTTCCCTATTAGAGGCCAGATTTCCAAGTGATTTGGGTTTGTTTGCTTATTTAATCTGGTCCTTTATAAAGCAGTAAATAGATTGTGTGTATGCTAAATGAACTGTGAATGGTAACTGCTTGCAAATCAGGCAGTTAGGAAAATCTACTGTGGGTCTGAAGATACAGGTACTGGCTGACACCAGAAAGATGCTCAGAGTTCTTTTACGTGTTGATAGGAGTTGTGGTTTGGGTACATTATTTGCAGGCCTGTGGATATCCCAGGCACTTGTCTCTCTGCTCTGTGTCTTGATGTCTATTTGATATGATAAAATCACCAAATAATTGAGGTTGGAAGGCACTTCAGGAGCTCTCCTGTTCAGAACAGGATCAGATATGAGATCAGACCAGGTTGTTCAGGTGTTTTTTTACATCGAGTCTTATATACCACTGATTTATCTGCCCCTTCCCTTAATATCAGTTCTTCATTTAGCAAAAAGCATTTCTTAAAACTGAGATGAGTAGGAAAAGAAAGACTGAGTGTATGAAGTTGAGCAACATGTGTAATTATAAGCATACTGGGTATTCCACCAATATTCAACCTTTACATATAGGTCAGCCCTCTAAGGAGCGGTGCATTCTTCTGGGATGCCAAACATCCTACACTGTCACTGATTTCACAAGAGCACTCTGTACATTACAAGGAAATGCAGCAAATCTTATCCACACTGGAAATACATATTGTACTAAATTGAATTTTGTGATTTTGTTCCCTTTGTGGTCTGGTTCTACTATCTTCTTCTCCCAACCCGTTTCAGATTCCAAGCCTCAGTCACAGTGTCATCTCACAGACAAGTTTCCGTGCAGAATATAAGTCCACAGGAGGTCCTGCTGTCTTCCAGAAGCCAGTGAAGTTCCAGGTGGACATAACATACACAGAAGGGGGAGAGGCGCAGAAGGAGAATGGGATTTATTCTGTCACTTTCACACTCTTATCAGGTAACCAAGGAAGAACTGTAAAATGGGTGCAAGCTGGCTTTGACCTTGCTGATACACAGGCCTGCAAAGAGGCTTCTGCCAGGGGAAAGAATATAAGTCTTGACCTCAGGGGAGAATTCAGACTGGGGCAAGGAGAACATGGGTTAAAAAAAATGCTGTTGGTAGTGATGGAAATTGTGGGAGGGAAAAAGATTTCCAAAGAGGTGAAGTTGCCACCACCATGATCAGTGCTAAAATGGTTGAAGTATCTCCCTGTAGTGTCTCCTGGTTCCACTCAAAGATCTCAGTGTCTCAGCTGGTCACTGAGGCCACTGGTTTCTTTCTTCTAACAGAAATATGCTTTCACCGTTTGCTTCTGGATGGCCACATGCTCCCCACAGGGGTTCAGACAAACAAGCAAGCAGACAAGCCCCACCTTTTCTGTCCTTACAAAAGCTGCCCAGAAGCCATCCTTCCTTAACGTGGGGACTGCATAATAGTGCCTCAAAGCTGTGCCTTCGGCTGAAGGGCAGATGTACTGTCAGTACACTCTTGGGGACAAGACTGAAGGGAAGATGCTTGTGATCCTTCCCCTCCAGCCTGGGTTGTATGAGGATTCAGCTCCCACTCCTCTCACAGCCATTTGTGCCTCTTTTCTCCTCACAGGTCCAAGCCGTCGTTTTAAGAGGGTAGTAGAAACCATTCAGGCACAGTTGTTAAGCACACATGACCAGCCTTCAGTGCAGCAGTTATCAGGTAAGTAGTTTCTACTGTTGAGCACCTTGCTTCAGCAGGGACAGGGAGGTGAAGTGCCTCTCAGTACCAGGAGGCTGAGGGAGGCCATCCCTCTCATTACAGCAAGAAACGAGCTCCATTCAGACAGAGCAGCAACTCCCTGCACCCACCCTACTCCTCCTTCTCTCATTCCAACGCCAGTGCTCCCAGCGCATTCCCCAGTTGAACAGCTTCTGCCCTCCTCCCGCCCAAAGAGCCATTTGCCCACTTCTCCATCAAAAGCTGCATCATCAATAGATCTTCCAAATTTTCTCAGGCTCCAAAACCTCCCAGAACAGAGAGATTCTCTAGAAAAGAATGAGAGAGACCTGATTTTCAAACATTCCAGGCATGCTTTAGATCCTTCCAGCTTCAGAGGTTCCCAGAACAAAGTTGAGAGCTACTTGTAACTCAGCCATTAACAGCAGTATTTACAGATGGTCAGAAGGTGGCTAATAGTTTCCAGTAACATGGTCAAGTTCTTGGCTCAATACTGGGGTAGCACAAATCATATACTGAGGTTATGCAGAAGCTATATGTTACCTATTTTTTAAGTAAATTTCAATTCCTCGTGGTGGTTAAGAAGGTCTTATGCGTGTGACCCTGTGCAATGGCATCAATCTGAATCCACAGGCAGCCCGAACTGATAACACAGAAACTGGCCTCATCCCACCAATACGTTGCAGATGTTCACGCTGAACGCTAGTGGTGACACACACACACAAATACCAGTCTGAACTCTTCTGTCCTTTAAGAGGACAGAACAAAGGAGAAGGTGAAAATTGAGAACTTCAGGAAGCTTAGCTATTGGGAATGCTTCAAGATAGGAAAAATGGGAAGAAGCAGAAAGAATGTACAGACACAGGGAAGAAATAGGAGCAAGGCAGAGAGCAGAGGCTGCAGGGAGAAGACAAAGAGGCAGGAGGAGTGGGAAGAATTTTCCCATTGTATGATGATGAAAAGGTAGTTTCTAAATGTTACACATAAGAGCCAAATTCTTTGCTTGATAAAGGCAAACCATCCAAGACAAGAGTGGAGGAATGAAGTCAGCGTTGCATCCTGCGGTTAAGTCCCAGATGTCCTGGCTGATGGCACATATGGGTTACATCCTTCTGGTCTAACAGTGTGGCTTTAACAGCTGAAATAAAAATAACTCCTCTAGAAGGGTGTATGCTCACTAGATGACAGAGAAGTCGGATCAGTTCAGGAAATATTATTTTCCATTTTGCTTTTGCCCTCCAGCACTGCCTGACCTTCTGCACATTGCAAGGGTGCCCAGCACACGGGTCATTCTGTTAGGGAACAGGAAAGGTGAGGATACTAGAACTAGAGTTGATTGAGGTTTTTGCTGTCTGGACTTTTGAAATTCAGACAGACTCAAGGAAGCAGCCAGGATTTTCTGCCAGCCCTTCCTCTTGAGAAATGCTGGGGTCAAGTGGGAGTGCATCCTTTGAGCCTAGTTCATATTACTCCTGCTGTGTGAACAGTGTTCCAGCATTCCTTGTTTCTTAGGGAAATAAGTGTACGATTGCTTTCTGGTGAGTAAAAAAACTGTTGAAAAAGTAAATAACACAGTCATCTCTCTTAACTTCTTCACCCTAGTATGTGCTAGCTACTGAGGCTCTCTAGAAAGACTGTTGCACACTTGCATGTGAAGCAGAGTATCTCCCTAAGAAAGTCGTATTATATCAGGAATAAAACCCATTCATCTGACTAAGGCTTAGGGAGTTGTTTAGGGAAAGCTGTGTTGTGAGAAATGTATCTGACTTAGAGTTTTGCTCTGGTTCTGGAATGGAGAAATCATATTATAGACACAGAAGCTCTTTCTACTGCCTCAGGCTACATGAGAGCATGTTGTTCTAGCAGAGAAAACCTAGCCTGATCTTTAACACCAGAGTGGAACGGATAACTCCATACGGAGCAAAACCAAAATGAATGGTCTCTTGAAACTTAAAAATGAGAATTCCCTCAGCCAGCGAGTTATCCAGGCAAAACGGTTGGACTCCATGATCTTAATGGTCTTTTCCAACCGAAAAGATTTTACGATTCTACGGAGACAGCTCATGAGAGACAGAGTGCCAAGCTACCCTGTATCATATCACCTGATCAGGAATAGACAGGTCTCTTGAACAAGAGATAAGTAATTCAACCTGAAAAATTTAGGTTGGAACAGAGTACAAGGAAAAGAGAAAAGGAAAGGGAAAAAGAAATAGGTTGCTACCAAGAAGATATAACTGTGCAACAAAGTAGGGAGGCCCTGTGGTTCACATCGCCAGGCAGCGAGAGAGTAAGGGGAAATAAAGGGATAAAGGGGCAGCAAGAATTCACTTTCGGCACCTTGCTTAGCCAGGTGGCTGTGGGTGGGAAGATGTGTGAGAGCGCTTCCTATAAATTGCCATGGAATTACTCAGCATTTCTTACTAGATACAAGGCAAATTCTTCTCCATTTCTCATCTTCTCCCATATTTCCAGCCGTGAACAGCTCACAGGAATTGTGGTGGCTGGACTCCTATTCAGGTTCATGGTCTGAGGATACTCTGTAGGCAGTCCACTGCTACAGCAGAACGAGCTCACAGTTCCCTTTGACTCTCCTTCTCCGTGGCTCTGAGGACACCGCTGGCTCTGGCCAGCACTGCTGGCGCAGCACTGGAGATTTTGCTAGCTCATAGTGTGCAGAAATACCCTCTGTGTGGTTGTCTCCCCTGCCATTTTGTTCAGATGCCATTACAGGTGGGATGGTGAAAACCATCTGTGAAAGGTGTGTGCATGTCAAGTGAGACCTGCAGAAGGGGAAGGTTCAGTGAACACAGTATAAAAAAGAAGAAACAGACCCAATAAGCACATGGCACCGATAGTCATTTCCTCTCCTGCCCCTCTTTGACCTGTCATGCAGCACGCCAGCCCACTAAGCCGGCTTGCCTGGGTTTCAGAACGCACTTTCCTCTTTCTCATTTTCTCCAGCTCACAACAGTGTGTGTAGATGTCGTGTTGCCCATGCATCTGTGTGTGTGTATGTGAGCCTGATATGTACCTGATTTAGGCAGATGTGTTTCTGTGTCACATCTGAGCACCTTATAATCTCCTTTCCCGCTGATTATCCCTCCATTCACTTCCATTTTTCCTTCCTAAGACTGGCTGTGCTTGTTTCTTCTGACATTCTCTGAAGCAGGAAAATAGCTTCCCTCCCTTACCTGAATAAGTGTGTAAATAAATTAAATCTGTCCCTAAAGCTAATGTAATAATTCTAGAATTCACCGTCCAGTTGGTCAAATTTAGTGCAACATATCACTCTTCTACCCTAATGTGTCAGGACATCAAATCCTGGGTATTGTAGGTGCTGAGGCAATACCACAGGTCTACAGACTCATGACTGGCATAGAACAAGTAGCTACGGATTGATTGTTCATTTTTTCTTCCCAATGAAAGAACTCGAGGCCACCATATGAAACTAGTGGAAGCCATGTACCAAAAAAATATCGGAAGGTGTGTCTTCATGTCATGTAAGACCTGTGAAACTCCTCGCTGAAGCAGATTCTGAACGTGAGGAGCTGGCAGATGCTCATCTTCCCCTGAGTACTCCTTACTCACAGGGAGGCTGGACAACTCCATGGAAGATAAATCTTCATGCAGATTGCTAAACAGAGAAACCACAGCAGGCTCAGGAAAGCTCTGACCTGAAAGTGGTGAGAGAGTGCAGTAGTGTTAGGAGGACGTGTTCTGTATGCTTGGCCTGCTGTTACACTCCTGCGTATCTATGTGTGGCTGCTGATGGAGACAGAGCACTGCATACTTTTGGTCTTTGATCTGAACCAGAGTAGCTGTCCATGGGTTCTTGTTACTGGTATCCCAAGATCCATGAAGCCCAGGGAGGCCATGAAAGGACAGTCCCTTTTGGATCAGGAGTTAGTATCGCTGTCTGTGAGAGCAGCTGGCCTTATCTCATCCATGTCTCTTGTCCAGGAGCCTTATACTCAGAATCTCTACCTAGGTAATCCCTGGGCAGAACTGCCCTTTGGTGGGATAAAAAAGATCTTTCTCCGCAGAAGAAAATATCTCAAATTAGTGCCTTTGTTTCAGCCCAATACTCTTTCCATTAAATCATAATCTGTTTTCCTCCAATGCCTTTGCACAAAAGAGTAATAGAAATAGCTGGTGCATAGGGACATGCAAAAGCCATCTGTGATCACTCACAGCATATCAATTTTTATTTCCCTAATATTTTCTTGCCTCTTTGGGCTTTGGTTTTAAGTGTGGAGTGCTGCATATTCCCAATTTCCCATGTTCTGGGCAATCAGCAATACTGAAATAGCCTTTATAACTTCTTTATAATAGTGTTCCTGTTCCTTTATTATATTTATTGGCTTCATATCAGATTTTAACCATTGACATCTCAAATTTACTGCTGGAAATGCCTTTCATCAGCATAAACAAGTGCTCAGAGACCATATCCAGCTTCAAAATAGGGCAGTGCAAATTCTTGCTCATTGTCTGTATCTTCTGTATATGCACCCAAGCTTACTGTGGTGGTGGTCTCAAAAGGAAAACACGTTCCTGTGACTCAAAAAACTTTGGTAGAGCATTGATCTGTGAATTCTGAATGTTCATCTTTATGGATCACAAGAGCTGTAGGTTGACTAATGTGCTACAAAGAATTACTAAGGAACTTACAGTTTCCAAATGTGCAAAGGATTTTATCATCAAGGCAGAAAAGGGAGTGAAGAACAATCTAAGTGCTTTGCAAGGTAAACTTCCAACTGCAGATCTAATACAGGGCTATGCAAATGCCATCTTGCAATTGGACCACAAGACAGTCTTCATCCAGTCAGGGTTCATCCAGGTCCCATGTTTATCTTGTTTCTTGCATTCTTGTGCAATCCTTTATGTCTTACCACTCTTACAGTGTCGGCAATCACTTCATCTTGCTATCATGGTTCTCACCTACAAAAGGTGCTGTGTAATGCCTGGTTGGATTGGCAGAGCACTGTTTTTTTGCTAAACAGCTTTAGTACCGTTACTGAACAGACTTCACTAAAATTAACTGAGAAGCACTGAAATAAAGTGTGTAGAAATAAGTCCAAGCTCTCCAGAGTTTTGATAGGAGATAAGCATCCAAACACTGGGGAATTCCAATCTAAATGCTAACTGCCTTGGACCAGAGGAACTGGTGGCTCCCTTGACGTAATCTCCCTTAATGGAAATGTTTACTGGGGACTATGAGCATCTGGCAGGAGATGCTCAGTCCTTCCTGGGATCTAGCCCTGGTTTTGGAGATCTCAGAGGAGCAGCTCTTTCGGTGCAGTTTGCTGGGCTGGGACAAGTCTCAGTCTCAGAGGTATCAGAAGCATCACAAACCAGGCATCTTGATTGGGAAATTTATGCAGGATAGAAACACAGAAATTAAAAGAAAAAAGAAAATCAGGAAAGAACGTTCAGCCGAACACTAGCATTTTTTAATGGATTCAGAGCTTATTTGGCCTTTTGAAGGAAGGTCTTTTTTTAACCAAAGCATTTGCCATCTGTTAATGAACTGAACCGGGTGTCATTTATGAAAGAATCTTGGTCAAATCCAAAGTGTGAGTGACTTCCAGAAATCTCTATGAAATAAGCAGTTGCCTTATCATCAGACAGATTGAGATCTGACACTGCTACTATACCTTAATTAAAAAATTAAACAGCACATCAAAAATGTAGTTCCATGACCCATCAACGCTTCTTGGACAGCTGTAGGCCTTTGGACCCTGGCTTTATTCACCTCACCTAACACCTGGATCCCACAGTCACTGGGTTATGGATTGCTATCCATGAGCAGAAGGTGACTGCTAAGAATCTAAGGCTTTCTAATCAGAATGAAAATTCTATTTTAAAATTATGAAATATTATATAGAGCATTTGCTAAATCAGATGTTACAATATGATGGAAATGAAAGAAGTACTGAAGGAATTATTATAACAGAGATAGTCTTTCGAGCGATGCAGTATGAGCTACTGTTTCTGGTGTGCTCATGTTTGCTGTGACTTAGGAATGGGGAAAAAACAATCTGGTCATGTCTTGGAAATACATTAAAAATAAAAATAAATTCCTGTGCACTTCCTGGGCTGGCCATGGCAATACAGAGAATGCAAACTGTAGTTGTGCATTAAAGTTTTAAGAAAGACAAATGAGAGGTTTTGTTAGTGTTCCTTTGATATTTTGTCATGCTCTTATATTTCAAAAAAGGGTTTGTGTTTTTCCCTGTCCATCAAAAACAGTTCAACCTGCAAATTTAGGTTTTTAGGAACAAAATGGGGTACAGAGCCCAAGATGTTATGCTGCCAAAAAGCCTATGTTACAATCCTTTTTTCCTGTTTCCTTAGGTCTGTCAGTTTGCATTCTAATCACACAATCTGTGTGTGTAGACCTCTTACACAATTAGCTTAAAATGAAATACTACAAAGAGCTATTCTGACTTCAAGTGACCTAGGAAAAAGATAGTATCCTGAAGTATTAACTTAAGGAGACATGATTTTTTATTTCATTTGTTAAAATCAACAAGGAAACTGAAATACCAATTTCAGGGGAGTCTTAGTGAACCAACCACGATGTTTACCTACTCTGACATTATCCAAATATTACCTTTTTTTTCCAGACTGCTAGTTACTGTGTGGCCAGTCAGTCTGGGTATGCTTGAGGGGAAAATTCCAGGTGTTGGAGGTGGGAGGCAGAAACAATCTTTCTGTCATATTTGAGACTTTCCTTGCTCATATGTGGGTTTTTTGAAGCATAAGTTCTGGTAATGATTGGGTGCATGCTCTGAGCTCTACCACTATAGATCTGTATTACACTGCATTACAACAAGGTGTAGTTGACAATGAGGGGGCTGGACAGAACCACTAAAAGGCATGAGACAACAAACTTTTCCAAGTTATTAAGGAAAAAAAATGGTACAAACTCATGACTGACTTCTGATCATTGGCTCAGTCAGTAGCTGTAGGCACTTCTTAAACCTGTTGGGCATCTTCAGGGAGAAATAATCAGCCTTCCCTGTCAGACTATCCAAAGAATTTCAAAGGCAGGTAAAATCCTGGCCTCTGTGACACCTCTGATCCCTTGTTCCAGTTCTTGAATCCTTTCTTCTCCTTCACCTCCTTCCTTTTTCCTCTTTCTCTTTCTCTCAATCTTGTGCCTTTCTCAGAGACCTTCCGTGGGTGACATCTCCCCTTGACCTCTGCCAGCCTGCTGCTAACCTCGGTGATGGAGAGCATGTAACCGCTGCTTGGATGCTTTGACCAGTATCACTGGACTGAGCACCCACCCTCTCTACTCCATGCTTCCCCAAATGATCTATGCAGCACTGGCCTGGCTGCGTCAGAAAACACACATATCCATGCTTTCCTAGCATGGGTACAGCTGTAGTACCCAAGCATATCCAGCATACCTTCTCCCTTTTTTGAAATCACTTTTCTCAATATTTAAGGGCAGGAATGCCAAGAAATTATCCTTCCCTCTCTCCTACAGACTTTTCAGCTGACAGGAGAGCAGTTAGAGCTTTCTAGCAGTTAAGGATTTTCAGCATGTGTGTGCATGTTTCCAAGAAGCCTGTTTCTTGACTACCCAAGTGTTCATCGAGAGGCCAGGCAAGAGAAGATCTGAGATTGAACTGAGTGCTTTAACTGTTAGCCACTTGCTCAGCAGCAAGTGCTCCACATTGCCCAGCGTTCATGGATGCAATGATTTAGATCCCACATGCAAGGGAATCCTGGCTGACAGCAGCAGATCTGCCTTGCCAGCAGGTTCCACATGGAAGGGTCCAGCTGGGCTAATCCTTTCTGCTGTAAAGCGGACATGTAGGGCTCCTTCTGCTTATGGCACCTGAGGAAAAGCACTCAGAGGCTGTGGCAATGGGAGCTATAGATAAAGTGGACAGTAATGCCTTAGGGCCAGATTCTGCCACCCTTTATGGAATTAATTCTATTGCCTGTGAATAGTGATGTTGAAAGCAAGAGGAGTAAGAGACTACATGTGAATGAGAGAGATAGTTATGTTGAGAACTTGGACAATACCCTTCGGGGTCTAAAAGATGTTTTTGAGTTGTGTAAGTAGCCTTCTCATTCCATGTCCAGTAGTGCTGCGTTTCTTCCCTCTCCCCAGGTTTTTCATGTACGTAGATCAGGTGGCTGGGCATTTCCTGGCTGTTGGAGGCTAACTTGCAAAGCTGGCCAGGTGAAACAATGAATTCAAGACTTCATTTGCTAATGTGGTGGCAGAATATTTCCCATATCTCATAAATACCTATAGGTATGATAAAGAAGTTGAGCGGAAGCAGCAGGGCTGAAGCAGTGCCCACTCTCAGTCACAGGGCCAGGTTTGCACTGGCATGCAGTGGGTGGCAGAATTTGGCCTGGGTTGTGTAAAGACCAAGATGTGTATATGTTTCCTGCTTCAGGTAATAATGTGCTAAGTTACTACTTTATGCACAGAGGTATGGAAACCTTTTTTTTATGTTTTTCCCTCCCTCCCTCCTCTTTCCGTTCTATGATCCAGACACCACTAACTGTATGGAGTTGATGACTGGCAGACTTTCCAAATGTGGTAAGAACTTCCTTCCCTTCTGCCTTTTCTCCTTCCCCAGCCCCTGCTGAGCAACATAATAATGCGCCGTCCTGTCCCTTCCACCTGTTCCCCTTCCCTATCCCTGCTCTCCCACGTTCTTTTCAAGACTGCCCACCCCGTTACAACCCGCTGTCTTTCACTTCCCTGTGGACACAAGCATATCCCCCTTATTCTGTTCCTCCCCATCCATGCACAGATGCACAGGCTCCACCACAGCTTTCCCCTTCATAGCACAAGTGTATGGTGTTCCACTTGAGATGCCCTCCCTCACTGTAACCCAGGCCAGTGATTTTCTTTTTCTTTCCTTTTTAGTTTTTTTTTTTCCTCTTTTGTTTACTTGCTGCCTTTGATTCATGATTCTTCAGTCCCTTTTCTGCAGTGAAGCTGAATGCTGCCCTGCTAGCTGCTGTCTCCCTTGGTTTCCTGCTATTTATTGAGACAGAATTGCTATGTTATTTAATTCCCTTCTGCATCCATTCCCTTATTCCCCAGATATCCTTGCGGTAAGACCCTTTTAACTCTTCCGTAAGACATACTGCACATTACCTGTCAGACACTTCGTGTGAATTGTCATAGCTCCAGCCTGGTCTTGGGGAAGGATGTTGTGTCCCTAGCTGGAGAAGTAGCGAACCTACTGGAGATTCAGAATTTTGCTAGGAAGGAGGAAAAAATAGTGTTTTCTGCAAAACTTGCAGCTCACCTTGCTTATGGTTCCAGGAATTTTGGTTAACTTGTCCCTTGCCTTCCCTCCCCTCTAGGCACACAGGGACGGTTCTTTCTTACTGGTGCCCCTACTGACTCCTCCAAATACAACAGTGAAAATACCCAAATACTCTAAGAGAGGGCTTTTTTGTCTTATTACTTACATCTTGTGCAGAAAGGTTCTGTACATGAGAACTCTATTCTCTGTAGATTTCCATCCTGCTATCTAGGTAGAATTTGGACCTCTGTAAAAGGGAACACAAGCTGTTGAGGAAGCGATCGCTGAGCTAGTGCCGCTCTCCAGCTGGACCTGCGATTCCTGCGTCATCTCTTTGTAAGCTAAGGAAAGGTGTTCCGGAGTTGTTGTGGAGTCTGTAACAACACAGGAAAGTTGTCATGGTGGAGATAATATTAGGTTTATGCGTGTGTGGCTGAGGCAGAATTTGGCCTGTTACTTCCCTGAAGTTGCAGCTTTGCTGGTGGGAGTTTTTCCTTTGCTCTGAAAGGAGCTCATTTGATTTCTTACTTGAGTTTTCTGGGTTATACCATTTCTGATCTCCTCATGAAGACTCATCTAAGTTGTAGGCAGACCTCCAGCTTCTTCCTGAAGGCATCAGACAGCAAATCCCTCTTCTCCTTCAAGCCTTCTTTTCCTGCCTGGATCTGGCATTTGCATCGTATAAAAATACTGGAACGCTGATTCTACCAATTGCTTGCGAGTTAATTGAGCTGTACAGACAACAGTTAATTGAGCTGGTTGTACAGACAACCAGCCAGTGCTCTGCACTCTCTAGGCAGAGAGTGTTACGGCTCACCTCCGGTTCAGGCAGGCACTCCAGCTGTCACAGCTCAGCATCAGTCCAACAAGGGTAAAAGAGGACAAGGTGAAGGCCAGCAGAGAGACTTATTTTGTGGCAGCTACAGCACAGACAGAGCACATATGTATATATCTAGAGAAGAGAAATGATGGATTATAGGAGTTTAACAGAGCTGCTTCCTTTTAATCGTATTGCTGTTGGTGTGCTCACACACAACATAAGTAGTGGTGACTACACCATGCTGGATTCCACCCTCCTGTATGAATGAAGAGCTATTTCATGGGCAGGAGAGCTCACCCACAGTTCAGACAGGGCAACAAAAGGGAATTATGCCAGTATTTAGCCTGTTATTGGCAAATTGTTCTCTATGTCTTCGAGGACAGGGAACCCCCTGTGAAGTTGACACTATTCATCTAGTAATAACAAATACTGTAAGAAAAACTATACTATGTGGTTTTTGACATCATCATTGTTCTGTATTCTGAAAGTGAGCACAGGGGGTCAGTTTTGCAGAACAGTTTAACACTGGAGCTGGAAGAGTTAATCAGATGCTTTATGCCTGGCTCAGCCATGTGAAAGCTCTGGTGGGAATGAGGAGTATCTTTTCACCCACTATAAACCATCGAATGTTGCAATTAACGGCGAGGCAAATTTGTTTAGTCCTTTAAATGTTATCTCATCTTCTGCTAGCAGTGGTCGTCAGTCTGAGAAGAGATTTTGCATATAGCCACTGGCATTGAAAAACACGTTAATGTTGAACAAGAAGGGTATGCCATAGGACCTGACAGTACTGAAATGATGTAACAGCTGCTGGATCGGCCCTACCTGTGCCCACTAGAAAACTGCTGCCAACTCTTGTTATTTCACAACAGAAGAAAATAATTTGGCTCATAATAAATTGAAATGCACATTGGGGTGGAATATTTTATGTTTCCACCCATTTGAGCAGGGGAATGGGCGTTTCTGTTGTCGAAAAGACTAAACTGGTTTCCCTGAAGTCTTTTATATCTGTTCATAAGATTAAATTTCCCTTGTAAAAAATTAAAACCTTTACACTTTTAATGCAGCTGGAATCTGAAAACTGCCTATAGGAGTGATACCTTCTGACTTAACGGATCTATTCCTTGTGTGTATTCAGAACCAAATCATTTTTGTGACAAATAAGCTTTACCACTTTATGCGCTGCCGTTAAACATTATAAAATCAACACAGCTGTAAAAGAATGAGCTGGATTCTGTTTCTTTTGAGGCAGTATTGAGAGAACTGTTTACTACCATCTAATCTGGTATTTATGTCTGTCTCACTGAAGAATAGGTTGTGTAATTGACAATGAGGTTCTAATAGGTTCTGCAGAGCCTTTACATTAAAAAGAAAATCAAGATAATGTACAAACTGGGAAACCCTCCAGCTTTAGCCACAAAGCTGGGAATTAATAAAGCAAGTGTCATTATAGATGGAGCAGATTTGATCTGTAGCCATTGATACACACCCCACAGAAGCCCACGGTGCCATTTCAGTAGTCCTTGTTCAGAGAAGTCCATCTTTACAAAACTTAATGATTTTAAGTCCTTTAAATAGTGATCTCACGAATTCTTTGGGTTGTTGACTCAGCAGTAAAGCTGGTGTATAGCCCTTGAGAGCTCCCCTTCCTAGCCATCCCCATTTCTGGAGTTTTTAGTAAGTATGTTTCACCAAGGTACTGGCTGCTGTCACACAGCTCTGGAAAGCCTGCCTTATTCTTGACTTTACTTTCCAAGAAACGCTGGAAAGCCTGTGAACTTTCCAGTCTCCACACTTAGCTGTCTGGACCTGAATTTTATATCCCAGTAAGGCAATCTTTGCTTGTTGCTTTCAATCCCGCATGACTCTTGGAAAAATCTTCAGTTACATCAGTGGCAGTTCCGTGGAACTGGGTGATGATAAGAGGAGGAAATGGTTGGTACATATAACTCATGCGACTCCACTCAGATCTTGCTGTCATGTTACGCGCTGCACAAACATACACTCCTGCAGATCCCTAGACCATAACCCTCTGACAACAGGCAGGCCAGGAGGCCTCAAGTATATTCTTAAACATCCTGTGTTGCTGCTTACAATTCAAACCCTTGATTCCTGGCAACAGAGTGAAACGAAAAGCTTTACAAATCCTTGTGGATCAGTGGCTATGACCAAAATGGCCTCATCAAAGCAGAAGTACAGCAAATCCACTTGCCTTTCATATCTTTCCAATGTAACTCACTGAGGTCTCTTGCTTCCAGTATTTAGGACTTGACGCTGCTTCCTATTCAGAGCCATCTGACCTTGTCCCCCATGGCCAATCATCCTTGCACACACAGCAATTGCACTGCAGTAAAGGCTTCTCTTCATAGCTTCTTGCAATCACAGTTTGATTCCTACAGATGCAAGTCCATGTCGATATCATCCCAAGCTACTTGAGAAATTAGGAGACATTTTGTAGTTTAAAACTGGTTGCATCGCATTTGGGTTGCGACTGCAGCATGTAGCTTTGTGAGTGCTAACTTAGAGACTGTTGGTGTTACTAGCAGCAGCAAAGGTCTGGATTTGGTGCTCTTGGAAGTGATCCTGATCCATCTTGGCATTAATTAGAGTAAGCCTGCTTCTCACCAAGTAGCTGTTTGATGGAAGAGGAGGTTGGTGATTCATGTTCATAAAGTCATAAGTGATGGCAGAAACACTGATGCTGAAACCTGCAGAAAAAAGGTATACTGCCCTCCCCGCTGAAAGGCTCCTCTCACCACTGTTACACGGTGAGGTAGTCAGAACAGGATTTTCTTTTTTAGCATTTCTGAAAAGTGTGCTGGCTAGTGGTCCTTTTGAGCATAGCTGATTCTTCTGTCTAAACTGTGACCCAAATGAGAGATAAAAGGAAGAAGGCGCACCTGAAAATTAACATATTCATAATGGGTGGATCAGGATAAGTGAGAGAAGTCAGATTTTCCAGAGTTCAAGCCAGGTTTCCCAGTTATCTTTGCCCATTCTGCTGGTATCCTTTACTGTCCAAATGGATGGCTGACCCCACACTGTAGTCACACCTCTTCTTGCAACAAAAAGGGCAGCTTAGCACTCAGGATGAATCCAGATGTATTGAACTATTTGGTACATGCCAGATCCCATTCTAACAGCTATGGCTGGATTTTTACTGTCCAGTACAAGATCTTTTCCTATTTCTCAGTAATAATATCTAACATAGATATCCCTCTCAATTAAGATCACAGTATTTTATTTATGGCAGGCAGTGCTTCAGGATACTCCATGAGAATATTTGCTTGCTGTGCTAAGCTAAATTTGAGGTGGACTCCCTGGAAGATTAAATCATATTTCGAAGGGATTAATTCAGAGGAAATGAAGAGGCAACATTTCACCAGTATATACAGTTGATTTCTCTCCTTAGGAACAGGTCACAGAACTTAAAACCCACAAGATCATATTTGAACATCC